TTAATTTTTTTTATCACACAAACATGTAGACCCTATTATACAGTTACTATCAATATCGTAAGCCCCGTTAAAGTTGACGGGAATTAAATTTATTTTGTGTTAAACTTCAATATAATTTATTCCAAAATTATCTTTAGAAATAACACTGAAAACATAAAATTTATACATTATAAGAATAAGGTCCTTATGGTTTGAGGACACCATTCAGAGCACAGTAGCCTATATGACATGATAATATTAAAACGAATCTCAGGCAAAGAGAGTTTAGGATGTGGATTGGATTAATCTGGCTCGGGGCAAGGACTGGGATGGCTTAACAGATTCATTTGGTTTCATTTGGTTGTGTATAGTTTCAAGATATCGACACTTGAAACAAGGTTTGTAATGCAAGTGTTGAAATACGTAGTTACATTCGACAAATTGGAAATCTGGCTGAAAATTTTCCAACACTCACCATGCGCTTTTCGAGGGAAAGCGGAGAAATCTGAAAGGTATATGAAACAGAGGAACCTGTTTAACAAATAAAATGCACACAATTATTATTCTGACTCATTTGGGTCTAATTAATCAATTATTATTTTTCTCGAGAGTATCCAGTATGCAGTGAAATGTAACTACGTGTAATTTTAAAGAGAAAAGAAAGAACTACCATTGTTCATTGCTGGAAAGAATGCTTTAAATGCACTTCAAGTACGAATTCTTGTGTAGAAATGAGGAATTGTTCTGGTAATTATATGATAAACATGCGATTATTAAAAGAGCATTGTATACGCGTACGAGCTCTAGGGCACAACACGATTGTTGGATACGTGAATTAACCATTCGCTTCCAGGGAAAATGAGACAGCAAACAATTTATTGTAAACGAAGCTGCATGTACGTATTTACGTTAACTATGTAATATACAGCTCACCAGGTGATTGTTGGATAAGAAATTTGGACGTTTTCGCTTAAATTAATGGAAGAATCAGTAAGAATTATGTGTAAATAGTTAAAATATCGTAATTTGTAAATCCAATATGTATCGCTGAATTAGATTCGGCAGAATGAAATATTAAACTTGCATAAAACAAAACTTAAAAGGATAAAAGAATAATTTTGAGTAAGATATAGGTTAGTGGACGAGGTCATTTTTTCAAGGCAATAGCAGTGTACACGTAAATAAAGCCTTTACCAAATTCAAACGCTTTAATTAAATTGAACTTTTGTGTATTTGATAAAACAAAAAAAACTACATTAATTTATTTCATTGTTGTGTACGTCTTGGCATGTACTTGAACGTGAAAACTTTCACCGAAGGTTAGTGACAATACATTCACAGAATCGGCCGGTTTTAGTTTAAGTATTCTGACCTAAGCCTGCTTCAATTGTTTTTTTGTTGTTGTAGCAAGAATAATCGATCATCGGTCATTGCCCCCCGACATTATTGCAATCGATATTTCCTTACAGAGCGTGGCACAGTCGAGCAGTGTGCACCTTCAGTATTCGATGTCTCGAAATATCGATCCCGACATCAACACAACTGTACGGAATTCCCTGTGCTGCTAACTTAATCTGTTTTTATTAAACTTGAACATACATGGTCAGGTCATTAACCTGCCACATTTATGTCGATTAAACACGTGTTTATTTTCTCTGGTGGATGAATTATGATGTATACGGGGATTTTCAGGCACAGCGATATCTCGTCCCAGGAAATGACGGTTAGGAGAACCCCGACATCTGTTAACGGTCATCAAAGCTTAACCAATTTTTCTGTTCTTACGTTAACCACAAAAAAACTTGTAAGCCTATCAACATTACACACGAAACACAGAAACTGTCACAAGTCAACGGTAATATTGAAGCGATTAGTTACGGATTCCACTATTGCCTTGCTCCCCAGCAAATGTGAATTTCTGAAGTAGGCCGTGTTCTAGGTTTTTATTATTTTTATTTAGTGTTCTGTGTGACGACAGGTCCATATGAACAGGATCCTTCCATCCTTTTCTCGGACTGGGACCTGTTCATATACGTTCTTGGCAGATGATCCAGAAGTGGTTTGCCATTGCCTTCTTCTGTGTGTGAATGGAGTAATTGTTGGGATGCCACGGAGGAAAACTCCGTGTTGCCTAGACCGCGGCCTTGCCCAACACAGGTTATAAATTCGGGCACCGCCGGGAATCGAACCCGAGACCCCCAGGATTACAAGGCCAGCGTTCTAACCGCTAGACCACATTGGCGTTCGGGAAACCGCGTATTTTTTTTCGAGTGTACACAAATTAAAGAGGGCGGTTCCATAAAACTAATTACTGTTGATGTAAAAAATGAATAAAAATTTAAAACTCTGACTGGGGAAAGATGTGGTAACCATTTTATTTCAGCTACAATCATTCGGAACTTGGAACCAATGCATGTGGAAATGGATCATAATTTTACCAGTCTTGTTTAGACATGATTTTGCTTAAAATAGATGATTATGAGATAAGAAGTTTCCTGCACGTGAAAGAAGTAGTGACCCAAGCTAGTTCGTGCGACCTGGTAACTCGAAAGTTAAGAAGGGATGGGTTATCATGTTGGGTCAGTAGAGGGCAATCATGCCTTACTGGGGGTCATGTAGGGTCAGTCCCCTGAATACGGTTTTCAAATTTAGGGCATATGCATAATTCAATGACTAGAATGTAGATAGTGATACTATCATCTTAACTCTTCAAAACCTAGCGGTAATTACACGTACCATTATTTTACTCCACCCCAAATTAGAGTAACCACCACCCCACCCCTTTAGAGTTTTTTCATTCCAGTTTCCCCCCCCCCGACATTTTTGTGCGGTAAAAATTTAGATTTGAGATTCCTAAGTTATAAGTCGTCATGTATGGATTCTGAAGAATCCATTCCAATCACAATTAAATTAGGCTGTACACACATTATATTCATTCCAATTTAATAAGACCAAATACGTTTCTACTACGTGTTTATTTTTCGTATTTGTGTAGAGACCCTTCGAAACCAAGTAATATTTAAGAATTCAGTCCGTACCGCGAAGAAACCACCACACTTCACCTTTACGAAGATCAACTGGTTAACGCTGTTTAAGGAAATAATCGCTGTTTATAATGAGACACGCGCTACGTACATAATATTTAAACAGAGAGTCCGTACCGCGAAGAAAACACAACTCTTCACCATTACGAAGATCAAATGGTTAACGCTGTTTAAGAAAATTATCCCTGTTCAAACTGAGTATCGTAAGAAACAAATTTACAAGACTAAAATACAGAGTTTCCGATTGTTAAAACAGAGTGCATATAGTTACCATTGGATTTTATGAGGTTAAAACATGACGCAACATTCTAGTGGGTAGTGATGATAAAAACAGTGCGTGTATCGTGTGGCATTTGTTATACGTAAACCGCTAATGCCATCTGGGCACGTTAATTGAAAGGCTGTGGTCTTTAATACATTGCAGTGACTCTCTCATTAAACATAACCTCTAATTAGGTCGCCTAGTTCCCTAATGACACAAAAGCAAGGGCTTGGCTTCTGCACTGCAGAATGCCCGTATGACATTTGACAATTTCAATTTGAGACATTCAGTTCATACTACCGTACTTTGAAATTGAGAGGCTTGCCAACAGAACGACACAAAAACCACTAATTACGTGCGGATGAAGATATACAATACAATGAACGGTCTACTGATATCTTTATCGTACTCAGGCACTTTTTCTTCGGAATTTTGACTTTTATAAAATCTGTTCTGGGTTTCAACGAATAATCAAAATGTTGTTCCAAACCAGAATTCAATTACTACCTACGCATTGTACACAGTTTAGATATCTGTAGCAGGAACACTAGCAACACAAACACAAGAGCATTTTATATCAAGTATTGTAAAATAATTAATAAAATAGGCTGAAAAAAGCATTATATTTTGAGGGGGGGGGGGGAATTCATCTAACAGCAAAAAGATATTCACTTTACAAAATAAAACTGTTACATTAATGGCTGGTGTCAAACCTACAAATTCATGTAGAAGTCTATTTAAGAGATTAAAGATCCTCGCTCTTCCATATTCTCATTAATGAACTCAATTGTAGATAACAAAGAACATTTTCCAAATTCTACGACACACACTGTCCACACAAGGAATAATAATCAGCGTCATGTTTTTGGAAAAGTGTGTATCGTGCAGGCATAAAAATTTTCAACTGCCTACCATCGACTCTAAACTAAAAAGTCACAATTTACAGTAGGATTAAAAAGATTCTTAATAACACACTTCTTTTACTCTGTTTATTAATTTATAATGTTCACAAACAAGTCTTAATGTTCATTAAAGTTTTCTTGTCTTCACGTAATATAAATGGGTAGTATAATTTATCTACTGTATGTATTTGTAATATGTATTGTATCATTATGAGTCATTCCACATCCTACCGACATTTGACAAACTTGTGGTTCCATAGAACGTGATAAAAATGTATGTAACTACGAGAGGGCAAGTTCACCTTTGTTGAGTATTTATTTTCAGCCATCCAGTAAGTAAAACTTTACAGAATGATCAAATGTACCCAAACTATTATCGTATATTATACGAAATAAATGGTTCCCATAAGTTAGATGACAACAGGATGTGAAGTGTGTACTTAAGAATCTTTTTAATGCTACTTTAAACAGTGCCTTTTTATTTAGAAGACTTTCGACACTTGATGGTAAACTGTTGAATATGTTGATGCGTGCATAATATTGTTTTGTGAAGCTAATTCACATTCCTTGTGTTGACACTGTGTACAGTAGAATTATAGTTGCGTTTTTAAACCAATTAACCAACCAACCAAATCATATTTATTAAGACCTACATCACAGATAAACTGTTCTAACCTAAACAAACCCTGCAACAGCTGCTGTAACCATTATTAACTACTGCACAAATAATTGTAAATAAGTCTATATAACCCATTATTAAACTATCAGATGTGTTTTTGGTCGCTGTAAAGAAATGGACGTGTATTTACTTACTGCGTTTTATTCAATGTTGATTAGCATCAGCTGTAATAACAATGAGCGCGCTATTGTGTCTACGATCCAACAGCTTGAACTGAAAAGCACACACGTGAAGGTAATACTTGTCTCTGCGCGCGCCTACATTTGCAAGAGACGAGTATAATGGAGAATAACTTTCTTTCTCTACACAGGCCCAACTTCGTAGCAACAACTAAACGGACAACAGGGGGGGGAACAGTCCAAAGAACTTCGTGTGTGTAGAACAATACAAAGATATGCCTGAAGAACGTTTTAACCTTGAGTTTTGAAATAATTACACGTCGTAGTGTTTTCGAATGCGATGTTGGCGAGTGTGGATTCTTGCTTCACGCAAAGACATCATTTTCGATGACTGTATGAAGTGATGACAATGTTTCCATTTCGATAGATCGTGAACGCAGCCATGTTCTTATAATCGATTTTAAGAGATTATAAAAATAGCTGGGGTGGTCGCCAATGTCAGTTTGTACCAATTTTGTGTATATTGATCAGCTTGTTCCAACACTAAAAGGAAGAAACACGCGAAAGTGTAAAGCACATAACAATCAGGGCCAAATAGTAAAATGACAGAACTTACACCACATCCGGCCTATTGCTAAAGCAGGATCTACTCAAGGCCTAATTATGGCGTTTGTCTGCACAAATAATTTTTATCCTGTACCTATCAACGGATGGCTAACGTGATAAAACATTCTTTTAATGGTATTACTTATGTCAACATAAATTTCGACGGCGAGAAAAACTGAAACTATGTCCATTGATATAAATTATCAACGTGAACGTATGCTTACCAGTTCAAGAATCGATGTCTAAATATTTCAACTCGCCACAAGCCGGAGACATCATTTTTTAAAAGCTGTGTTTATAGTCGTGGAAAATGTGGCCAGGAACACTTACGGAAATGCTAGAGCCACCGCCCTTGTGGGATTCAACATTAATGAGTTCTGGGGCTGAAATTCTAGAATTTACACGAAAGAATATAGCCGCGTCACAAATGTTAGAGTGTATAGCAGGATAGCCAACCGTATGTCCGCAGAAACCTCTGTACCTTCAAAACGGCTTTTTAGAAATTCGCGGGAAATTTAATATATATTCATAATTTCGTAACTGTTCGTTGATGATCGCAAAACACACGATAATTTTCGCTCTACAAACCGAATCTCCGTCCACTGTTCCATCAGACCTGGACTCTTTCTAAGAAAATTACTTTACTCGTAAAGTATATCATTGTGAGACAAGTGGGCCAAACCAATTGAAGATGTCCTGGTCTCAGGAAAAAAAAAAGCCATTCGTAACCTGTTTTAAATGGCTTCTTTTATTCTCATTCTTTCATATAGGCCGCGACGTACGGTGTATAATTAATGATCTCAAGTGAAGATATTGCCTAGGAAACGCGGTAAACGACACATTGATCGCGTATGGCAGAAATTCAGTGCCGTTCTGACAGCACAGCTGTCACATAACCTCAATGTTGTTCATCACATGAAAATGGTCGGCCTTCCTAAAGACGTAATAACACGACTGGACAGGTGTCAGGACACAATCGCCCCCACGGTCAAACACGAAGGGTAAAGTGACTTCTCCCTCGTTGTAAAGCGAAGTACACTGCTACTTTCACTAGACTATACCTTTACGAAGTCAATGACCCCTAGTGAATTACTGATATACGAATGTACAAGCGGATTTTAGATGCATGTATACACTATGAGCAATGCAGGGGGAGGGGGGTAGTTAAGCGTCCAGTCTTCAGCGGACAGAAGGGGTTAATGACCCAACGACGTCCAGCAACTGTAACGTTAGTGAGTGATCAATATGGGTCAATATCTGTAATTCCTATTCGATTGTGGAAATTGAAATTGAAATAAATCAGATAAAATACAAAAACCAACAACATCCATTTTTTTTATTTATTTATTATTATTATTATTTTTGCATCGGGTGTACATTTAATTACCTTTGGTCTTCAACTGTTTTAAGGAAGATAAACTTATGATTTCAAAGGCTGTTAAAAGGAAAGGTTGTTACAAATGCAGAACACATACATGAATACGAAATATTTTTTTATGCTGATAAAGATATTTATGATTATTTTTTTTCCCACAATTCTGCCCAACATCTGTAATAAATACAATAACAACACGAAACGCCGATTATAAGCGCAGGCTGTTGGAAATTCATTTAACAGAAGCACATCGTAATTATTTTTTGTGTGTGAAAACTGGCAGAAATATCGAAGTAAAAAATTACACTCGACTGTGAAATGAAATAAAAAAAGAGATTAGGATAAAGCTCATTTAAAGTAAATTGTTTTTCATTAATTAAAGAAGAAAAATAAAAACCCATACGTTCTCGTTCATAGTACATTAGAACTCTCCTAACAAAATCTGCGTATACTTTACAAACTTCGAGCCAGTTTTTTTTTTTTTTTTTTTTTTAGCAGTGTCAGCTGTCATGTTCCTGTTCGGTAAGCTCTTGATACCGCGCAAACATCATCTTCTTCACGCAATCTTTGTAAGTTTCCCCCGGAAGTGCCCCGTAACTCCCTCCTCTAGCACCGAGTCCCGCCGTGTTTACGCGATGTTCCGTCTGAATTACCGAAGTTCTTCCTTGGTTAGATTTCCCCAAACCCATTCCTTCTTGCCAACCCATTTTCTGTAACAACCTATTACCGACGTTATCCGATCCGATCCCTGACTTTGTAGGCTCTTCGTACGATACGGAAACCGCGTCTTCTTTTGTCTTCAAATATTTTTCTTTCAGATGATTCGGATGCTGCTGATTTGGTTCCCCAAATTTCTGACGTCGTTCCTTAGCTCGATCTCGATACTTCTTGTTTCTCTGTTGAGGGTCATTCGGATCTAGACCTCGGACACGATACCATTTTTCCAAATTCTGTTTGTGTAAATCCGAGAACTGCTGATGCCTTATCAAAGACTCCTTTGTAGGAAACTGCCTCTTACACAACAAACACGCAAGTTTCGACCAATTTGTATGTTGTCTGTCTTCTTGAATTACGTCTTCTATCTCCTCGTCACTCTCGCTACCGCCACCGTAAGCCGGAACCAAACCGCACGCGTTACCACCGTCACCCAGCGATGGGGACCCCCCTCCCCTCCTCTAAAAAAAAACGACAGTCTGAAAATCCAGAACTGGTCGTTCCTTCCGCTCGAGAACCGCGTATCCTGCATCAGCAGCGCCAATTGATCTAGAAGACTGCACGGCAGAATCAAGAGCTAGATTCTGACGAGCGATATCTTTCTTCTGATTCAAAGTCTTAGCCCATCGTTCCATATCCTTCGCTATTTTCTTAGCTACTTTGACTTTTTCTTGTCTTTCCTTCTCTTTAACGTTCTTACCTTCGTCTTTATTGACGCTAGAATCAGCTGATGATATCGGAGCGGGAAGATAAGATTGTTTGTCTGAATCCCAATACAAAAATTGTTGTGTCTGGGGATTATAAAAATATTGAGAACTCGCGTCGTAATAGAGCCCGGTACGCGGGTCGTAATAATAGCCAGATGTCTCATCGTACTGGTAAGCGCTAACATCTGGCACGTTAGCGACATCTGTCTGCGCAACTTCGCCAGCCGCGTCTGCGCACTTGTCTTTCTCCGGAGAAGAATTCGTCTGCACCGTCTTCAGCGCGTCATACAACAATTTCTCGCCTTGCTTGAGTACGTGAGGGTCTTCGACGTGTTTCTTTATCTCCTTCGCGGCCTGCACTTGCTGAATCGCGGATTGAGCTACGGCGGCTGCAGCATTTACGCAATCCGCCTGCGTCTGTGACGTCACGGAACTACCTTGTGATATCTGAGTTTGGTAATATTGTCGATAATACTGTTGATACGCGGTATATTCAGCGGGCGACACCGCGTATAACGAAGCACAATAATCAGCCAGCCGAGGAACGTCTTCTAAACTATATTTAGTCAGGTCTTCACTTGTGGAATGGCGGATATGTCCGAGCTGAGCCACTCCCACGTCAATCCCAGCTTTAACTGCTGCAGCGACAGTCACTGAACGGCCACTCATTGAACTACAAACGCCAGACACGTCACGCTGCGATTTACAATACGATACAAGGACTTTCCTGCCGTCCACGATCGGCGGTGTCGCTATTAGGGCGTTATGCATATAAATAGCGTCCATAATATGGTTCATCTCTAAATAACAAACACCTCTCGAAGTGTTCGTGAGAGAATCTCGACCGATACGGATACTGTGAACGGGAACGGCCGAGACCGATTTAACCGCTTGCGAAACCGAATCTACGGTAGACAGAACATCCAACCCTCGTAATAAAACTGTAGTTGTCGGATGAAAACTGATCTCTCCGCTGCCTTCCCCACCTTCGGATTCCTGTCGAGACGCGCGACACTTAAAGCAAGCGTCCCTTCTCTTAAAGTTATGAGCGCCACATTTAATACAATGCCAATCTTGGCTCGACTTCAACGATGATCTATCAACGTGAGAATCCTTCGGAATACTGAAATGCATCACGGCTCTATAATGTTCCTGAAGCATCAACACCCCCTGCTTCATTTCCATCCACCGCGAGGCTTCCTGAAGAGTGCTAAATTCGACGAAAGCGAAACCACGTGACGCGCCGGTATCTTTCTTTCTTATGAGTCGAATATCTTTCGGCATCAGACCGCATCTCAGGATATCTTGTCGAATATCATTCTCTGTGATGTGCTGTGCCAAGCCCCGGATCATAATGGTGTTGTTAGGCGCTTGGTTTTTATAACCGTCCCCTTCTCGGCCATCCCCCGCTGAATTACGATTCGCGCATTCAAATCTCTCCACGTCATCGCCATCATTCCGAGCGCTTCCCTGCTTACCGTCCCAGCCACGCCTTGAATCTCTACCTTCTTGTACTTCTCTAGAAGATTCTGATTCCCTCATACTGATTCTTGAATCTTTCGAAGATTCTAAACGTTCCCCGTCTCTAACATCGCTTAATCTCGAATTATTCGCATCCCTCGCGTCTCGTAACTCGTTAAAATCTCTGCCATCAAGGTCATCTCTTGGATAATTGTCCTGTGATCCATGACCTCTCCGATAACCATATCTTTCTCTGGAGTCATCATAATCATCATCATCGTCCTCAGGATAACGGTCATCACCCTTATACCGACAGTCTTCTTGATCCTTATTTCTGATCAGCCTTCTAACCAAGTCTCTATTAGCTTGGTGATCATTATATGAGTCTGCCATGAGATAAATCCCGATATATAAATCTTCAACAAAAAAATTCACCGACGGTATACTCCTTTAGTCGGAGGAGACGCGGTTCAATATTCCTGCATACGTTGTTGAACCACAATCACGTACACTTTCATTCAACTTTTCAAATTAAAATATCTTTCTTATAAATATTAATGTCATCACAATTCAATATAAACAACATCTTAAACCCAAAAGCCAATCGTACGCAAATCACAGTTTTTTTTTCCACTTACTGATCGCAAACATTTCAGGGCTTCCTGAAATTATAAAGTTTAATTCTTCTGCGAAGCTTCTTTCCTCCAGACTCTTTACACCTGAAATAAACAAGACATAAAACAGCAACGACAGACAGAAGTCGTGATTCGTATAAAATTAGAAATGGATACCCCATTTGGTTCTCGCGTGTTCGTCAGAAATATTTAAAATTCAATCCTGCAAGTACCGTGCAGCAAAGCGAGGCAACTAATCAGCTGAAGGCAGAATAAAAGGGTTAAATTCCTAGAAAGTGTAGGAATTTTGCTCATCAGATCAGTTCTGCGGCCCACAGAGCACGACTTAAAGAAGTAGCGTGTGAATTAGCGTTATTCCTGTTAAAAATTCAATGAAAATACCACATAATACTTCTCCCTTAAGTCGCACTTTCTTGGAAGAGAAGAATATTACTTTCCTTCTATTTACTTAGATATAAACACAATTATTTAATTTACAAAAATTTTATAAAATTATATTCAAATTCAATTTAACTTTCATATAAATAAAGGGTTATAATGTGCAGAGACCAAAATTAAAATCAGCTGGCAATTGTTCACGGAAATTCCTCGGCATCAAACTTTACCTGAAATCAGTGTCTGAGGAGAAACATGAGAAACGAGCCTCTCCCGGTTTGCGTTCGTTTAATGCTCTTTGCACGAACAACTCCTGAAGCAGAATTTTACTCGAAGTCGTCGGGCGTACTTTTACGCTACATCGTCGGCCATCTACATTCATCATTTACATTATTATAAAATATTTAACGGACTATGTACAATTTGGTACCTACCATATTAGATTTGTACTGTTTACATCTGAACTCTACCACTGTCTTCTTCTTCTTCCACTGGTAATTGCAACGGCCTTGCCCTTAATGCTTTGGAAATTTCTTCAATGGACATAATAGATTTATATTCCAGGGTGTAAAGTAACTGCTCGCGAGAGACGCTCACAAATGAATTTGCCAGGAACGCAGGAAAACCTCTGTAACCATCGCCCATTGTATACAGAGGTAGTCGAACTGTGCCCAATGTCTGTAACAAACGATCCCCGTCGACTGAAATGGCATTACTTGAATTACAACTTATTCCCTGCAAATCAGCACCAAAATCTGAAATTTAATAAGCTCAAAAAATTCTTCACTCATATTACTCAAGGAACACCCACAAATTAACATAAAAATATTACTGGATGTCATAACAAAGTTTTCTTCACAACTGTGACAATATACAAACAAAACCGGACAATTACCTCGATTCCATAATCACGTGCTTTAACTGCCTCTTCTTCAATAGCCTTTATATCATCGACGGACACTTCAAGAGCATAGAAATGTAACAAGAGGTTCTTGCTTGGACACCAATGGGATACAACATAATGCTCTTCCTTAACTGGATGTTTCTGAACATTCAGGTTCATCTCCTCAACAAGTTCCCTGTTCAATCCGGAAGGAATATCTTCTCCTGTGTTTACAATACCACCAGGAAAACCCAAGTATCCATCAAACCGCAACTGCATCTGTAGCAATACAAGAAAGAAAATCATCAAAAATACATCACTGCCCAATCACAAAAGTGACTGGCTATGGGTTGAATGACTGGTTTGATTCCCAACAAGGATATTATTTTCACTCTGCCACTATATTCAGATCCTGGACTTTTAAGGCCAGTTAACATTTTTTTTAAATGTAAGTGAGGTTAGAATCCAGTTCAAGTTCCATTATTAACATGGAGAAAGCTCTGTATTTTTTCTACGTATCGACGCATCCACAGAAGTATCAATCAGTTCACAAAAGGATTCTGCTTACCAAAATCACAGCTCTGGCGCTGTATATTCCAAATATCTTTTCTTCAGTCTTTGAATAAATCATACAGTGCGCAGCATGTGTACTGTCGTGACATTTTAAAAGATTCAAATCTGCCTTGTTTACTTGTATGTTGTTCATGCAAACTCTACCAAAATGTTCTGTATCTGCCAAATGCCCCCATGATCTATCACCGGTGTCCGCCATGTCAGCCATAAAAGGCACTTCCTTCTATCGATTCATTAACATTTTTTGCAAAATATGAAGATCACGTCCTAAATACACAATACAGGCAATTATACTATTACCCTCTTAAGAATCACAACTGACACACCGGTCGCCATGTTCAACACCAACGATTACAGAAAGCAGTGCCGACAATTACCTACCGAAAATACTTCATAATGAAACACGATAACTAACCTTAGAAGACAAGAAAAACATAAATATATACCATTCAATGGCAGTTCCATTTGCGACAAATGCTGCTTTCTATTCTATAAACTATATAATTATTTATTTACGCGTTACATGAAATCATATTGTTGTCATCACTGTACACTCATAAACAATTTACGAAAGGAATGCGCATTATGTTTTGCTACTCGTGTATTTTTTTCGTACCAAAATTAATGTGTTTAATGAAATAATGCCCGGGGATTTTGAATCGAGTAGCATGTGGTCTAGTTACAATTACTGTGACAATTATTCGTGTGCATATAGTTACAGATCTTAAAGCACAATAGTTTGTTTCATATAGCAGGGTGTTTGTCCTTGAGTACTTGCATCATCATTTGTAGACTTGTACACAAAATGTTACATGTTATAATGCTTGCACTGGCAATACTAAATAATCATGCCAGTGCAGAAACAGGTGATAATATTTCCAGAGATCAAATTACAGAAAATCAAGACAGCTGTGGCTGTGGTGCTATTAAAAGAAGGGCAGGAGATCAATTAGAGGATTCAACAATTCTTCAAGAAGACACTTCATTAAACATTAATAGTGAAAAGTACTCTTCTGCTGCAAATGCACAAAGCATTTATCCAAGAACAAATCAAATGGTGTTTATAAAAGGTGGTAAGTTCATGATGGGCACAGATGAACCAGTATTTGTAGCAGATGGAGAAGGACCGTCCAGAGAAGTGACAATATCTGACTTCTACCTGGACATTCATGAAGTTAGTAATGCAGAATTTGAATTATTTGTAAATGCAACTGGATACAGAACAGAAGCAGAATCATTTGGTGATTCTTTTGTCTTTGAATCATTACTCAGCGAAGAGACAAAGGCTGGAATAACACAGGCTGTTGCTGGGGCACCGTGGTGGCTGCCTGTTAAAGGCTGTAATTGGAAACACCCTGAAGGACAGGATTCCAACATAAAAGGTACGACATGGCAATGAAAACTGCATTAAAAGGCTTACAGTTCTTCTTGTCTCTTTTAATTTATAAGATTTGTGATTTACTGTTTCTCCACACTCAGTTATATGCATGCTGAACTAACAAACTGATTCAATGGAGCACAGTCCTTCTCTAGGTGTGAGAATGCTCAGCTAGTCAAGAAATTCTACAGCTTTACATAAACCAAATGTTCACTACACATCCTGACATCTCACCATACACTGCTCCCCGGTTATACCGCAGGGTTTCGGTGGGCGGGTTTTGACCCGCGTTATAAGGCAACTGTGCTGTAACCGATGCCTACAAATTTTTTCCAATTCATTGATTCTCGCTCCAAATGGACTCCGACAGTAAGACTCGCGGTATATCCGAATCGCAACTGTGCTGTAACCGATGCCTACAAATTTTTTCCAATTCATTGATTCTCGCTCCAAATGGACTCCGACAGTAAGACTCGCGGTATATCCGAATCCGCAGTATAAATGACAGCGTTATATCCGGGGAGCGGTGTACTTCATTTGGCTATTCTAATATGTGGCAAAGAAGAACAAATTATGAAATTATGTTAGATATTTTGGACGGATAAGAAGTATTTTATGAACTACACGTAAATATACACAAAATTTCACTAGAGTATTAAGTAATAAATTCAATATTCACATTTACAATTCTCTTTTCTAGTATATAGAAGATTTTTATATTGTCAGGAAAATGTTATAAACTCTCTTAAGCCTCTGATGTGTTTCGTCAATGCCATCTTGAAGTAATGCATTATGAGGATTCAGTTACTATGCTAGCCGTGTCCACATCAACCCCATGTCCAACAGGAACTGAAGGTAAAGTGTGTGTGGAGTGTGTGTATGTGCACATGCATGCACGCATGTATATGGACAGGCGCTTAAAAGCCCATAAGTCCTAGAACGCTACACGTCAGATGTGCAAGACAACTTAAGGATTCTGAAAACCATATTAAACCATCTTATATTCCAAATTCACACTCACATTTTGTAAGCAGCTTTAATGCTGATGTCCTCTGATTGCAGGTCGTAAGGATCACCCTGTAGTCCATGTCTCTTGGAATGATGCAGTTGCATATTGTTCTTGGGCAGGAAAACGATTACCTACTGAGGCAGAATGGGAATATGCTTGCCGAGGTGGCCTCAAAGGACGCCTGTTCCCTTGGGGAAACAAATTAAATCCAAAGGATAAACACTGGTGTGTAGCCAAGATAGAAGTACAAACAGTTAACGCAGAAAATATGGAATGGGCCAAGGGGTTAAAGTTGTATTCTCTTATTAGATGCTCCTAGAAAGTGCCACATCCCTCAAGTTAATTTGGCTCTTTCTAAAGCTATCAGAGAAGGTTAAACAAAATCCCTCTTACCTCTGGCAATAGAGGTGGTGTGTTCCTCTAAAATGTTGCCAACTACCTATAAGACCACACAATACTAACTTAGAAGATCACAGTCCACACCATCACCATAAGAACTTCAAACTTACCTTTTCTTATTTTGTCTTTCTTTCCTCATTTCCCCCTTCAGCTGCAACTATATGTGGGCTCACACTGTTCAAAACATTCTGTTCATTCAGCCCCCCCCCCCTTTTAAAAGGCAATTTTTTTTGTTTTGGTGAATCAAATGGTTCCATTGTACTGTATCAGCAGGGGCTATTAGGTATTCACTTTGCCTTGTTGATGGAGAAAGTAAGGCTCCCAGGAACAGCAGACACCCTTACACCTTTCTTATATATAGTAGCTTGGCATATAACCTTTCATAGTTGTTGAGAATGAACCTATTTTGTGTTGAACAGTAACACAATTTATTCCATCATTACCTTTGCAAATTGAAAGTGCAAAATTTATATTGGAAGTCACTCTTGTGATAACAGTAGTACTGTCATAATACTTATACTGGTTGCTTCATCCTTGGAGAAAAATTTAGAGAAGTATACTAACAAAGCACATAAGAATGTACAATATCAACAATTTTACTATACTACTATTTAACTGTGGGTTTGGCCAATGTGATATAGCAACTTAAGTGAAGATGCACGTTTCTTAGAATTAAATATTTAATAGTAGGGCTTACCTGGTTTGTATATGATATTTTCTGTTTTCTATTTTCTTTCACTCAAGACTCTGGTGAATAATATTCTTAGTATATTAAGGTTTAACCACTGACAAGATGAGGCAGATGTAGGTTAGGTGATATGTTTCTTGTATAATAATATATAAATAAGGTTTTTATTAGCACGATAACACTGAAAAAGTCTTACTTCTTAAAGAAAGTCACAGTCTGTTGATACTGGCTAAGTAAAAACACGTCATTATTTCACACGATTTGTTATGAACGGCAACTGTACGCGACTTTAGATCGACGATCGCTTTCGAAACGGTTGGCAATGGCAATAATCGATAACTAATTATCGTGTCACAAGTGGATTACTGAATATTTCCGGTTTCTTCCGAATAATAACCTTACAAAATACTATAAAATGTATTCCCTTAACTGTAGGTAGGAAATTAACGCTGCTAAGTGTATAACAAATTGTCCTTGAACCTAGAGATAAAGAACCGAGATTGCTACAATGGAGTTTGGTCACACAATTCAATCATGGATCTGAAGTAATTAAAAATACTACCGATGAACAGTAGAACTCATCCACCTACCGAGGTCTTTTTCCCAAGGGGTAAAGCGGCTGGGGCTTGAATCTGACCACTAGTGACCATGTTAAAAATTCGTAGCGCTATACCTCCAGTCCTCCATACATCTTCATGGCGAGGGGCGTAGTTTGTTTTCCAGCTGGACTCAGGAGGTTCCAGTCTATACAACTCCCAAAAATTAAATCCATACAGAACCTAAAATAATACATCAAAATTTACAGTATTTAAAAACAAAATTGAGTAGCAGTAGTTCTTCACAAAATCACCACAGATAGCTTGGCTGTCTCTGAACAAAATACAACACAGTATTCAGTGAAAATATGAAGATAAATTTTTCCTATCCTGGGTTCAGAAAAAGATTACTAGTTCTCAGGATAAATTTGAATATTTAAGTAATGTCTTCTGAGTAGTCTTTTCCCTTCAGACTTCCCAACCAAAATTCTGTATGTATTTTTCTTATCATGCATACTATATGCCATAGTAAAGATAGGAAATTTGGTTTACCTGTCTGAATGCATGGAAAATTGCTAAGAATTCTAACATTAACAATGCTTTCAGAAAGATTTGAATTTTTTTACAGACTCTGAATCAAAACAAGTCTTCTTGGGTGCAGCCATGTCAGTATGGAAAACTGAGAGGACTAGTTTTGCAATTTCTATTTTCCTGACTGTACAATATACACTTAGCTTATCCAGCATATCCTGTGGAAGAAGCTAATAGTGGTTCATCAAATATTATTTGAATACTTTCATTTTCAGGGTAAATATCTGGCAAGGGGAGTTCCCTGATACTAACACAGGAGAAGATGGTTATGTAAGCACTTGTCCTGTGACAGAATTTCCTACCAATGCATTTCATCTTCACAACATCGTTGGCAATGTCTGGGAATGGACGGCAGACTGGTGGAACATAAAACATAGTAGCGTGCCAACTACAAATCCTGTAGGTTGCCATTATCTACCCTTCTGGGTTAAGTCTAAGTGAATTTTGGCACTTTGTCGACAGCTATGCATGTCATGCACTAGGCTAATGGACATCTCATGTTGCGGCAGACAATTATTTGAATTGGAAGTGACATGGCCATGCACTCATTATTTGAAGTAATGTCTACCGCAAAGCTATGCAACATTCTATGAATATAGTATGCACTGCGTTCTGCATGTATTTGCCATTAAATTCATACAGAAATAATTATCACTACTTTTGTCGTGATTTATGGCCAAATTTAAATTTACATTTGTATTTTGCAAACAGATTTCTTATGTCAAACAAGGTTTCATCAGATATATTCTGACCAAATCTGATAGCTATTTTAAAATAAAAAGTGAAATAATTTAACATAATTTATCTGCTTCCATTCCCGTGTGTTATAACAAAACACAAATATATTATTACTGTCAACATAAAAAGAATTATTTGATACAATAGTCACTGGACATAAACAAGAGTGCGATAGCTTTCCAGACTGAATCGCACACATTTTCTGAACCAGTTATTTTGTGATTTTACATATATCAGCAAGTTTTTATTATTTCTGTTAATCATTAAAAGCATGTCGCTAATTTAGATAAGGCTCAAATGTGTATTTATTTTCTGTAAAACACAGAAACAAATGAATGGTAATAGTTTGTTACATTAGATTGCAGATACAAATCTGTTGCCGCTAAATTATTTTTCTTTGCATTTTGTTATATAATCACAGCAGTCAAAAGATGTTTGAAATAAAACTTATAATGTTAAACACATTTATATTTTGTATCACACACAATTTTTTTGTATTATGAAAAAAAAAAACCACTGTTTTATTTAAGTTTCACATTATAAAGTAGGGGGTTAAGTGCCAATACCAACCAAAACATAATTATCATTACAACTTAAAGTGTAGTTTCACATTTTTCATATCTTAAACAGACTCATAATATCCACATGATTACATTCTTTATTTAGATGGGACCAGAAAGTGGAAAAGACCGCGTAAAGAAGGGCGGCTCCTACTTGTGCCACAAGAGTTACTGCTACCGATACCGTTGTGCCGCTCGCAGTCAGAACACACCAGACAGTTCTGCTGGAAATCTTGGCTTCCGCTGTGCTGGTACAAATATTCCCGAGTACTTGAAGGAACATCCATAAACTGACGTTACTTATGTGATACAATGAGTCTAGTACTAAGTAGGCAATATTTTTAACACATCTCAGTTTGATTTCTTAAGTACATTGCAGATAATAAATTTTCAATAAAAGAGCAAAATCTAAGCTCAGATGTCAATATGGTACACAAAGAACATGTTTTCTGTTAGAGACGTAATTTAGAAGTTGCTCAATATGGGCGAGATGAGTTTAGTCGTAGAAGAAATACAACTGTATCATGACGTTTCTTACGGTAACACCATAATATTTAATGATCCCTTCAATCAGTGCTCAGCACGTTTGCCGGTAGCTCCATCTTGCCACAGAATCACTTGACAATTGTTCCCATTGCTAGTCTACAGATCTGCAACTCTGTGCTCTTATGTTTAAGCGGCCCATCCACGTACGAGTCCGGCTCGGCTCCCATTGAGCCAAACTCATCTGTGGGTGGGGTGTCACGAGCCGAGTCTGCTATGCGTGTGTGGTGAAATATATCCGAGCCCGGCTCACGAGTCAAGCTTCCCGAGCCAGACTCGCAAGTCAGACTCTTACGTGGATGGGCCTCTTTAGAGTTCAATTGAACTTTTGTGGTAAAATCTTCTGCCTGACCGGTATTTTCTATTTAACACAAGGCACAGCGAGGCATCATTAAATTATGGCGCTACCTTTGTAATTAATTTGATATTGTGCTTTGTGGTAACGGAGGTGAACAGGGATGCTAATTAATATTATATGAAACTTTTATATGGTAGTCGTGTTTTAACTAATCTTATTTTGTAAACATTTTAAAGGTCCTCTGACAAATGACTATAGTACTTTTGAATAATGAGCTTCAAAATAATGTGTATTTTCTGCCAGAAAGATGGGGGTAGAGACAAAGGGGCATATTTAAAAAAAAAATTGTAACCTGAAATATCTTCCATAAGTTACAGATATTGAGCACAAATTTTATTTTAATTTTAAATCTTATCTGAAATGATCTCCAATTGACAGTACGAAACATGGTAGTTCATGTCGCACAAAATGGTACTGTCAGTAATCTCATAGCAACACTTCCCAAAATACTCATAAACCAGCTGAGTACAGTTATAGAACAGACTCAGATGGTTGGCAATGATTCTTTTTAATATTATCTGGGTAATGAAAACATGTAGGCTTGTATGTAGATACCAACATTTCAGAGAAACACTGGTATTTACCTATAAGTCCACATGGCGTTACTATTAAGATAACATCTTCGTCACCATGAGAACCTCAAAAATGGTGTTGCTGTACTTAGAAAATTTTCTGTACTCTTAGAACAATTATTAAAGAATTATTTTTATAATAGATAAAATGTTTTACAAAGAATAAATTAGTATTTTGGGTAATAACTATTCACTCTGCAAAAAATAACAACTATTAAATATTAATTTAAAACAAGATTCATTTTATCCAGATATAAATCATTTTGTACTTAATATGTTTAGGTACTTAATAATACAATACTTGGAAGTTCCTAATATGAATTTAAGACCAAAAGAAAATGTCTTCCAACTATATCGTATTAAGTGGTGTGGGTCATGTATTATTCTATGTTGTTAAATACATTTTATAACTGTGATCACATTTGAGTTTTAATCATCCCACAAACCTTCCCTCGTTCTGTGCGCTCCATAGATGAGTGTAGAATTCAAACAACGCATCACAATAATAAAGCATTCTTTATTTCTATAGAATTCTATACTCAGTTCCCTCACATTTTATACGCGTAAATACTGCAACATATATCAGAACATTTATTTCAATAAAATAGTTTACAGTTGGAATATAAGTCTTCTCGAAGGGATGACAGATTTGGATTTCAGGAAATTAGTTATTTGCCATTCAATGAAGGAACAATATGGATAGAAATTACAGAACAGTCATCTCTACCATCTGTACCAACTGTGTCAGTACCACGAGCTTAAACATTCACAAAATATTTAAGAATATCTCAAAAATATATTGGCGGACTTTTTCTTTGTCTACGTTTCCCATAATAGCGTCACTAGCACGCAGATGGCCAATCGTGTTCTTCGGTGACAGAAGTATAATCAGTACATGGGAGTAATACCGACTGCACAGTAAAATTTTTTATGAGCAACTGCACGGACCAATAATATTTTTTGTGTTGATATGTTTTGAATTTTACATTTCTGATAAGAACGTATAAATTGTTAAGTACTACGATTTAAAAAGTAATTTTGGATTTTGATTTAATGTTTTTAAACAACCAAGAAAATTAAAAACCCCTGGATCCTGCAATTATTTTTCAGGGATGAACACGACACGGCACTTCATAGGAGCAAGAAGTTGATTTTTACAGCTTCCTTGCTGGTGGTGCAGGAAGTAAAATGTCAGCTGTTGCACTGGCAGACACGTAGACAAAAAATATATAAAACCACCACCACCACACAAAACCTAGCGAAGATTAATTTAAGGTATAATTATTCATAATCAGCTAATTAAAATTATACGAAGTCAAGTAACAAAAGTACATACAGTAATTAGGGCTGAAAGTAAGTACAATTAAAAGTAATTCAATGAAATGTTTAACCACATAAATAATATAGTGAACCTTAAGGATGGAGGATATTTGATATGAACGAAGGACGTATAAATTTCACTATGGGGAACAATAAAGCACGACAGAGACGAGGGCTGTTAAATTAAATCACGCATGAATGCAATATCTGTATGCTAGACGTTGCCGACTTTCTGGGTGAAAGCAACTGGATAATATAATTCAAAACAGGCACAACATACTTCAGCCCCCCCTCTAAAAAAAATTGTGCACATTTAAATACAAGCTTTTAAGATTAAGGGGCCATTAATATATCACATAAACTGATTTTTTTTAAGGATTTTTTATGTGAATCATTTAAAAGCTCAAACAAATGTACAAAGACATCGTCCATTTTGGAATTGTGAAGAAAAAAATAGTTCTGATTGAAAAACTAGTGGGATGGGTAAAAAAATATTAGGCGCTTGGATCTGTAAAGGAATGTATGATTAACAAATAGAAACAAATTTTGAACTGGTACAACAAATATTAAGAGATGGTGCCCAAAAATTACAAGAACGCTACCACAATGATACCACTGATCATTATAAAACTTGTATGAACTTGAGCTTTCATGGTGATTAACTATATTTGCAACCAGTATTTAACAATTAAAAAAAAACATTCTCATAACGGCAAAATCACTGGGCTACATTGAAGAGGACATATTGAAAAATATTTGTTTATAAATAAATTCTCGTAACTTTTAGATACCACCTTGTACACACAGTATATGAAGTCTACATTAGACTCAGGCTTTGTATATAATTAATAGAAAATTCAAACATTGGAAGTAAAATATTATTACCCAAAAAAAAAAAAAATGAAACTGAAGTACTGTACAAACATTAAAATAAGGTCTCATCATAGGGCAAATATTTTTTACATAACTGTGCTCCACAACGGCACGACTTCCTTTCTGTCGGTCCAGACGGCACTGGGCACCTTTCGTCGCTGCTACCACCACCATAATCAAATGTTATCTCTTCACCAACATGAATCACTTTTAATGCAAAAATACAAAGCTTTGGGACAGCGTTGTCAGTTCTTACCGGAACAACTACAGCGTTAGGTTGGCAGGAATGGTTGATGTATCGCCCGATATTCCCAATAGTGGTTGGATCGACGTAAGTTTTCAAAACACGGCCTTGTGACAGATGTTCATTCAAAACAAATATATAATTCATTTTCCCGATATTAGTGTGAGCACGAAATTTTGCCTCCGCCAAGCCCAAGATTTCGCCTGCATATTCACATATAAATTCACCTTCCAAAATTTCAGTTACCGATTTTAAACCAAATCCTTTACTGCGGCCTGTTTGAAACACTTGTAATCCACTTCTGGGGCCAAACTGAATTATTCGGTTCCCACATTTTCCCTGGCTTACGCAACCACACAAAGAATTGCATTCAACAACTGGACCATTGAATTTTGAATCCAATAGCCTACCGCTTTCATCATAATTCATACCATACTTTCCAACACACGGGCAATTGTTTTCTGAGCTACACCTGACATTTTTGCAGGCACAACCACCCATAAACTGTGTATAAAAATCTTCAATATTAGCCCCAGGACCTGGAATATTGGTTGCTGTGTAAAAAATGTCTGGTGAAATGTGATGATAATTGTCAGTCATATAATCTTCAACGTCGGGGCAATCACCACTTGCGTTATTTTCTTCCATATTAAAACTTATCAACACTGAGATTTAAAAATCTTCTTCATATAAGCTTCAACGATACACAAAAATAACACCGATAAATCGTCTTCTTTACCATCTCAGATTTATGATCATTCTTGTTCACCCTGAACTGTATGAGATTCTTTAATACTTTTTAATATTCAAAAGATTGTATCAACAATTGTAAATGTATTTTATTGTTAACGGGTTTTGTGGCTGGAGTTCAATTTACAACTTCAGCTTTCAGGAATAAGCCACGCCAAAAATCACTCAATATTTCAGCAAACTCTGGATAATTTTCAATACTTAACATGAATCATCCCTGAAAGACAAAGCTGTACAAGTATTTCCTCGTTTAAAGGTGCAGCACAAATAACTTCGATTTTCAGTAAAAAATACTAGGTATTAGAAAGTAGCACAAATATTAATCACAGTCAAATGAAACCACCACCAGATCCCACAACTCTGAATGTGACGATGAGTCGTTCAAACTTTTTTTATCTGCTCTTATGAACAAAAATTCCAACTTTATTTAATTCGCAAAATCCAATCACTGAAAAGAAAAGAAAAAGCAACACTGTATTCCCCAAACAGAAACGATGGATTTGTTAGCCAGTATTCCAAAATCCAAATTAATTACTGGTAAATGTGAACAGACTTACAATGTCTCAACACAAAGATCCGCATGAACAGCCAAATCAATTTTCATCCGTAGTTAACAAAATAAATTCACCAACAAATTCATTCCAATTAAAGCGGCCCATCCACGCACGAATCTGGCTCGGCGAGCTTGACTCGTGAGCCAGGCTCGGATATATTTCACCACACATGCACAGCAGACTCGGCTCGTGACCCCCCACCCACAAACGAGTTTGGCTCAATAGAACCCGAGCCAAGCCGGACTCATACGTGGATTGGCCGCTTAACCCTCTGAAGCAAAAAGCTCATCTAAATAACATTGTATTTCCTCAATTTTAAGATGCAATCAATTGTAAGACATCCAGATTTCAGAAATTTTAAAATGTGAAAAAAAGTGCATCTTAAAATCGAGGAAACTGCGATATTTAAAAATTAGTTCTTGCCTCAAACAAAACGTGACGTGTCTCCTTTGCAAAGATCAATTTGGCTAATTATGTTTAGTTTCAGAATAACACGAAACTCTTACATATCCTCCGTGGGCAAATTTCAGAATAACCGACTCTTAAATCGGGTCATACACGCAGTTAAAGGTTTTAGAGGGTCATCCTCAAAACCTTTGTGACGAGCTTTTTCTGCATGAAAGAAACACATTTATTTTCCAATTAACCTTTTCGTATTACCAGTGAGACTTAGGCCAACAAACGTAATTTCCTTTATACCAACAGCTTTGAATTTAAAACAAAATAAAATGTCTCTGATGGATGTCAAAATGTATTGACGTAAAACGAGTACGTCAAATGATATGTAAGTCATATACAAATCTTACAATCTCAGTTTATTTTAAAGCATTAGTACTTACCAGAAAATATTTACCGACAAATCACGTTCTACGAACCTCAAAATCTTCCTTGGCCTATACCTCCGATGCGAAGAAAACCGTGGGCACTCGTTCGGACTGAATCGACGCAGTTCGACATGGATTTGGGCAGAATTCGAGACACGCCCCACACGGCCAGACCAACGAGGGAAGCTTTTACCGTCAGTTTTAGTAGCCGGCTAGTGAGGGTTGGAGGCGGCACCTTCATAATTGGAGGAATGTCTTCAGCAGTAACTTTACCCCAGCGCTCTACTATTCCTGGGACATGGCCAAGTCCAACCACTCCCACCACACGTACAGGTACAACATCTATAACAAACGTATGGATTTCTGAATATTTTGATTTAGAACAATGATTCCTTAGTTAACCTCATACGTTAGTAAGTGCAGAATTATTATTATTAGCCATCGTTTCATTTTCACTACCTCAGGAATCACCCGTGCATTAAAATTCCCTGTCCCAGTCACTAACACCAAGTAATAATAAACCTTGAATTCATATAGATTAAATGGGGCGGACCCACGTACGTTTAACCGAATGATAAAGGACAAGAAGTGGGCCGTACGTCCTATCATATTCCTGGATGATTACGACCATCTGCAATGGTAAATGTTGGACTTGTAAGTTGTGTAAGGGAGCCCACCTGTACCGCAACGCTGCGCTTGAGCCGCCAACTGCAGAGAGTGGGTTAGAAACACATCACGTTCATTAACGAACACAGTTCCGAGGGCTGGGAACTCCCCAGCCATTTCACTTAACATTTCTTCTAAGAGGTCCCGTCGTTTGCAACGTTCTACCTCCTCCTTGCTGCAAATGAAAAAGACTACAGATAAGCGACAAAACCATGTAAATGCATAAAATAGCGAGTAAAAAAAATTGCATTGTGTGAAAAATTGTGAACATTAATATTCAAAACTGTTTTTAAATATGCGGTATATCCAGATGGCTGTCTTCTCGGTTGCCGCGCAGCAGTCTGGTTGAAGTTTGCAGATGTTTCAGAAGTGCTTGTTCCTCCATCATCAAGGCAATACTGCCTTCATCATCGAGGCCATCACCCTGATGACGGAGGCAACAAACACCTCTGAAACATGACTAAATGTCTGCCAGACTACATGGTGCATCAACCCGAAGACAGCAATCTTCACACTTGCTGCTGTGAGACCTTGTCATCTCACATGGGATAAATCCATTTTCAACCACAAACTGACAATATGACATATAATAAAACCAGCAATTCTAATCATCACAAATATGTATTATCCGGATCGTATCAATTTTTAAATTTCACGTTTCTTTTAGCGGTACGTTACAATCATAAAAATGTGAGCAGCAAATGATATTAGTTTTTAATTTCTCCTAATTTCAGAATTCATAATACGCGATGCAGCAGAGCCGATAACAAACGGCAACTTTTCATTTTGCTTAAATTTTTTTCCAAGCAGTATTACTAATATGTGACAGACTGTACATCCCCTCCCCTTTTTTTTAAACCAGTATCTATTGAAATTTAAAATTTCTCTTGGTTGCTGAACCTCATCCTGAGATCTGAACTAATAATGTCCAAGATAAAATCAGACGCTCTATCCGCAAACTACGAAATTTAAATCCTTATTGGTTCCGCAAAAATGACACCTAAAATGAGTAAAAATCTTAAAACACTTACAGCAAGACAAGAGTTCGTAAGTGACGGCAGTGTTACCTGATCGGTTCCTTAGAGGTTAAAAGGTACCACATAAGACGTATAGTCTGCCACCACGACAACGAAGCAAAGGCCCTCTGTAGAGTAATGTGTATAGGTCGGTCGCCCAAATGTATGAGGCACATCGGAACCCGTCGAGCCTGAAACAAATTTACCTTAAGCAAAAGTACATTAAAAAAACATGGCTTAAGGATATCACGAATCAGCGAAAACAAAGTATTCAATAAACAACACATAAAAATTGTTGGAAATAGGAATAAATATTTTACAAACAGGTGACAAAACATCCTACGAACACAAGGAAAGAAATTTATTTTCCCCTTAAATGTTTCTGCACCAGAATTCAACAGATAACGCGTGTAACGACTTACTTCGGCGAATGCTCGTCGGAACTCTCCGCCTGGAGCCATGCCCAGTTGCTTGGTAAGATCAGCTGACATACTGAGCAGAAGAATGTACATCAGACCGTGGACAACCCCATTCTGCCTAATGGTAGACCGCAACTTTTCTGTTTATAAACGAAGCAAATATTACCCACACAGTCACTTCTTAAAATTATCTTAACATATACACCCACGATGCCTTCTTTGCAACATGCATTTACAGGTATTAAATCTGCCATTTTCGACAGTCCCCCTTTGGCCGCCAGATCGCAGCACCCATCATTTTGTTATTACTACCCGTAGGATATTCTAAAGTACAATTTTGAGATCGTGCATATTTACACAACATCCACATCAAATTTCATCAAAATCCCATGGAGCGGTTCTCAAGTTGAATCAAGCGGACGGATGGATCGACGTATGTACAGACACGACGAGCCCACGATTTGTGCAAAGAATGCGTTAAAAACTGACTTCTCAGATTGGCTAGACTTTAAAGCCTGTGATGCATTTATTTCTTTGTAAATATCAGTAGTTTATATAAGATAAACTCGGCAACGAATGTTTCGGTTCCATAGCACACACGGAACGTCTCGGCTAGTCGAACTATCAGCTCCTTAAAAGAAAAAAGAACTCTACTCCACGTAATTAGTTATTTAAAGCAAAAGACTATACCAAAATTAATATTCTTAGCTTCTTCCAAGATGGTTTTCTCATCTAGTTGAAGAATATTAACTCTTGATTTACACAATTCAACCAAGACTATGTGGGGCTGAACGGCTTGGATTATCTGAAACAAAACAATGACAGGATATATGACATTACAAAACTGAAGAGCTTGTCAAAGTCTGACTCGCGTTACATCATCAGGTCAAGGTTTCGTTAACTGACTGGCTTGTAGGCGAGTGGTGGTATGATGACATTTCACACAAATTACAACCCAAATCAAATACTGTGGTCGATAAACAAATGAAAATCACGGTAAACATTTAAAAAATGCACGTGTTTTGTGTGTTCTGCAGAAATCTTCTTCTTTATTACGCCGTCTCCTTTACAGGAGGTTGGCGACATTATGAACCGGATCCTTCCATCCTTTTCTCGGACTGGGACCTGTTCACATATGTTTTTTAGGCAGGTGATACAGAAGTGGTTTGCCATTGCCTTCTTCTGTGTGTGAATGGAGTAATTGTTGGGATGCCACGGAGGAAAACTCTGTGTTGCCTAGACCACGGGCTTGCCCAACACAAGTTATAAATTCGGGCACCGCCGGGAATCGAACCCGAGACCCCAGGATTACAAGGCTAGCGTTCTAACCGCTAGACCACCGTGGCGGATTCTGCAGAAATCAGGTGGGCAAAAAAGTGGGTTAGTATTCACTTGAATGACAAAGGATGATGAGTAGATGGGTCAAATGATAATTAATAAACCTGTATCAACTGCGGCGTTATGAAGTATTTAATGATAAGATGACCTTGATATATCAGCAGAAACAGTTCTGGTCATTTCAACGTAACATCTTAGCATTCATGCGCAGAGACTTAGTAAAACCATGATATATGTCACTATAGCTGGTATTCCAGCTGAGATTCATCACAGGGGGCCTTCTGATTACAAATCAGCGGCAGTACCACCTGAGAAAATTTACTTGTAACCGAACAGCAAATAGGAAGATAATATTATGATAAAAATAGGTTGTTCTTGACTTGGAGACCACTTATCATGACAGAGTTTTTTTTTTAGTCTCTCCAGTAAATGCCATGACAATACCTCAAATTATACCAATATTTCTTCTTTATAATCTATTAAATATCTTAATAATATCTGATAGTAGACTTTGATATTAAAAATGCTGAATGTTTAGATTTTATTTAAGTGTCCTCTAATTCGAG